TCCACGGTCACTCCTCAGACGCTCACATCAAAGTCGGGGAAAATGTGTCCGGATTTGTCCCACGCGTCCCCTCGCCGAACATCCACGGCCACGCCTCAGACGCCCACATCAAGCTCGGGCAGTTCGTCTCGGACGTAGCGCCGCCTCTGCCCTCCCCCAGCGTCCACGGCCACAGCTCGGACGCTCACATCAAAGTCGGGGAGAACGTCTCCGGCGTGGACTTCCCGTGTCCCGCCCCAAGCATCCACGGTCACTCCTCTGACGCCAACATCAAAGTGGGCGGGTTCGTGTCCAACGTCCCTGAGGTGAGGCCCCGCGGGAGTAAGCACGGGCACGCCTCCGACTGCGTCCTGCAGTCCGGCTGCGCGGTGTCCGGGGCCGAGCCGCTCCTGCCCCCTCTGCCCGGAAGCGCCCACGGCCACTCCTCGGACTCGGCCCTCAGACTCGGGTGCGTGGTTTCAGGAAATGAACCCAAGCGCCCTGCTTTACCCGGCAGCGCCTACGGCCATTCGTCAGACTCCAATTTAGCATTAGGGTGTGTGGTCTCCAAAGCCGATCCACTCCCCTCGCCGTTACCCGGCAGCGCCTTTGGCCATTCGTCGGACTCCAACTTAGCCTTCGGGTGTGTCGTCTCCAAAGCCGATCCACTCCTGGCACCGCTCCCCGGCAGCGCCTACGGCCACTCGTCTGATTCCACGCTGGGCGTGGGCTGTGTGGTGTTGGGGATGGAGGCTCCATCCTTGACTCTACCAGGCAGCACTTATGGCCACTCGTCAGATTCTTCACTTGCCGTCGGGTGTGTGGTGAGAGGGCTTCAACCCAAGAAAGAGGACGAGGTCATCAAAGGTACCTCATCTAGCAATGTTGAACAGATGGAGAGAGTTCTTTATCAACCTTTTGGATTACAGTGAAATGTTTCCTCTCTCTAAATGTGGAGAATTTAACCACTGAGGGTTCATTTCTTACTTTAAAAACCAACAACTCATCAATACTATAGATATACTCCCCTTTGAATTCATGCCATTATATTTAACTTATTTATTTGAGCCGATTTTTGTCAGATTCTCCCAACTGGAGTAGCGTTTTTCCATTTGTCTGTTGTTCGCAGCTTTGTTGTCAGGCCCTGAAGCTGTAAAGCTTGGTGTGACATTACACTCACAATCCATACCTTCTGATTCTAACTTTGCTTTTAAAAACAAGTCTGTGAACAGTTACATTTTTTCTTCAGGCTCTATGTCAGGTCATTCCAGTGAGCAGCTGGTGGAGGGGATGGGATCCTGGACATCTGGCCTCGGGGTGTCGCCAGGAGAGAAGTCTGAGGAGGAGTACCTCATGGCTCTGTCTGCCCAGTACCAGGTGGAACACTACGAAGACTGTTACAATCTAATGGGTGAGTGAAAGACGTCCAGTCAGTCCTCACTTCAGGCTGTATATAGAAGAGAATGTTGACACAGTCCAGCTCTAAACTGACAAAAACTGAGCCGTTTGTATTAGACATTCAAAATCCACACACAGCATCCAAATCAAAAATCCTTGAATATTTTCTGTTTTTACGTTCTGTCACGTCAGCTCTGACTGCTCTCAAGAATTCTTTTGTTCACTGGTGGGACGTATGCTGCGTGTTTTTAGCTCTTAGCAGAGCATGAAAACACTGACTTCCATTTCTCTTGTGAACTTCACACTTATGACTATTTTGTAGCAAAATAGAACTTTTGAATGAATATTTAAACAGAAATGAATTTGTCTATGGTCTGATTCTTTTTCCTTTCAATGTCAGCATTTACTGCGGCTTACAACCAGAGAATGACGAGATTTCTGCAATGTTTTTAAATTTTTTATTATTCATTCTAGTGTCAACCTCACAAAGCACTAACAGTTATAGTAAAATACTTTAGTAATTCCTTAGTAATGTTGAATATGACCGTAACAGTTTAGTTTTTTCAGACTTCAATTTCTGCTAATGTTGAATACCTGCCGCCGTCTGCAAGAAGGATGCATGAGTTCTTTCACATGGTGCCTGAAAGTTTCGTATTTTTCACCCTCTATTTGTTGTCCATTCGTGCAATAAGTATTTATGCTAAAAACCAATCAGCATCTACACAGCAGACTACACTAGTTCCACACCCCTGATCAAAGTCCAGGGCCTCAGTTGTTTAGGCTTTGATGCCCAAAAACAACTACAACAAATCAGTTCAGGATCTTTTCTTCGAAATGCATTCTATTTTGGCGCTTCGTTATCAGTGTCCTAATTCAGTCTAAATCAGTCTAATTCATATAAAGGGATTAGAAACCTGGATTTGGATGCCTTGTGTGGTGCGGCTGATTATTATCCTAGTTTTTTGGTGCTGTAAGCCTTATGTAAAGCAGCGGCCCGCTGCTGTGTGAGTGACATTTCCTCAGCGACGTGCCCCTCCCCTCCCCCCCCCCTCTCGCTCTCGCACAGCTTCGTCTCCGGAGTGCCAGCTGCTGAAGCAGGTAACTCGGGGGCCCTGGGGCCTTCCCATGGACCCCACGCACCGCAGAGCCACAGACACCACCACCGTCCAGCTCAGCGAGATGGTGTCCCTGCCAGTGCTGATAAAACACTCCGTCACCACGCCGCTCAGCACACAGTGAGTGCCTGCCTGACGGGGCGCCGCATGGGGGAGGCTCTGCCTTCTGCTCGGGGGGAGAGGAATCTGTTTTAGTTTACATTCTGGCTTTCTGTTTACGCGCCTTATTGTACGCATGCAGCTAATTGCTATTTAAAGAAATCAAAGCCTGACTTTTCTTCTACTTTAGACCTCCAGAGCTGTAACTGCAGGAATTATTTCATTTAAACAGAAATGCTCTCCGTTAAGAATTAACTTCACGAGAGAGTCTGAAAGGCTCCTCGCTGTTTTTTAAAGGCAGGCGACAAGCCGCATATGCCGGTTTTGAAATCGCGGCACCACGATTCGGTGGACCCGTGAAGAATTTTACTTTTCTAAACGTATCCCCTGCTCGCTCCTCAGTGGGGACACCTGCCAGAATCTCTGGGATGCTGTAGCCTTGATCTGGTTATGTAAAATCTGAAAGATGGGGGTGACGTAAAGAAATAAAAGCAGCAGAACAGTAGCTTCTTTAAGCTTTTATCGGATCAGAAGCCCGTCGTCTCTACCTCCTGTGTCTGTCCCCCATTCTCTCTCACTCTCCCCTCTGCTGTCCCCCCCCAGCGTGTCTTTGGTAAATAAAGCAGTGGTGGACTACTTCTTTGTGGAGCTAGGCGTGGAAGGACACTTTGAAGCCCTGCGCCACTTCCTGCTGATGGAGGACGGCGAGTTTGCGCAGTCCCTCAGCGATCTGCTCTTTGAAAAGGTGATGCTCTTTTTGTTTGTATGTTGCTGGTTTCTTTGTGGAGATTCAAAAGGGTGATATCGGCTTTTATTACATTTACTGCATTCACAGAGTTCTTTTTTTTTTGCCTGAGTTATCTGTGCTGTGTGATCTGTCTTATCTGCTGTGACAGTTCTGAGAGGACACACAGCTCATGATTAAGAATACATATGCAGCACTTTTCTCTGCTTTTATCAAAACCAGGGCGGTTCTTATATTCTCCTGCAAAGCGTAATCCCGCATCTTTGAGCCCCTAAGCTTTTGCAGTTAAACCAAACAGATCGCACCAGAAAGTTTTCTCAAAATGGTTCAGATCAATAATTTTAAATGAGTTATGGATTAGAAGAGGATTGTACCTTTAAACAGCGGTGGCACGTATCTGATTATATGATATTTCTCGTTTCCTGGCCAGATTTCTACTTGTGTCAAGCCTCCTGCAATGAAATAACAAGCATCACCTTTTTTCCTCACACCTCCGTGCTGTTCTGCAGAATCATTCATGTACATCTGTCTCCGAGGGCCTGTGAGACAGAAGGCGTTATTTATCCAGCTAAAGCACTAATTTCACCGACTAGCACACCTCCATCCAGAGAGAAATCGAATCTCGCGAACAGCTGTCAGTCGGGCCGTTATGAAGTAAATAGAAAAAGTAAAGATTTAAAAAGAAAACGCTCCCTTTTCGCTGTGAAGAGCGCGTTGGTTTGAGGAGTGACGACACGCGGCCCGCTCCGCCTTTGCTTAATCCACCCAGATGGGCAGCGGTCAGACCCCGGGCGAGCTGCTGACCCCCCTGGTGCTGAACTCCATCCTGAGCAAGGCGCTCCAGTACAGCCTGCACGGGGACGGCGCCCTGGCCGCTAACTTCACCTTCGCGCTCCGCTTCCTCCCCGAGACCTTCCACCCGCACGCCCCGGACTCCCTCAACTGCCTGGAGCTGCGCTACAAGGTAGGGCCGCGTTCGAAAACCAGCTCATCGTCCATTTGAAAGGCTCTCGGCGTGCCCAGGTCTCCTCTTTCCCTCCATCAGCGTCCCCCTTAGCGGCGGAGCCTCCACACTGTACCGCTCCCAGGCCCATCCCCCCACCCATCTTTTTGCAGCTTACTCACGTATTTTCTTATACTGTTGCCATTTTTCTTTGCCGTATTCCACTTCCACGTCCACTCCCATCTCTTACTACTCTATCTTCCCCTCACAATCCTCTCACCTCCTTTATCAACGTCTCCCTGCTCTCACCTTTCTCCTCTCGCCTCATGCCATCCATCACTCTCTTTTTACCAGGTTTCCCTGCTCTCTCTTGTTCCACTCTGCTGTAATTTCCTTTCCACTCACAAGCACTCGCAGCTTCAGACACACTTTTCTTTCTTACTTTTCTTTTTCCTTTTTTTTTTTTGTGTTTTTACCTTGCTTTATGTGTTCTCCCAGGTGGACTGGCCGCTGAACATCATCATCACAGACAGCTGCATGAACAAGTACAACCGGCTGTTTTCATTCCTGCTGCAGCTCAAACACATGGTGTGGAGCCTCCGGGATGTCTGGTTTCATCTCAAGAGGACAGGTGAGGGGACGGCAGCCGATTCAGCCACGGCCTGGACTCCAGCACACCTGCATGGATGAAATCAAAATATTTTTCTGTGTTGGGCTTCAGCATTTTCTTGAAAAATTGTGAGAAGTGTTAATTAAAATAGAAAAAAAATATTTATTTATAGACAGCACGAGTTTGGCATGAGGGAAAGTTTGATTGCATTGATCACCATGTTAAAAGACTGGGGGAAAAAACGGTATAATTGAAACTTAAATGATCGTAAGAATGACACAGGATTATATGGCTCTGACGAGTAGCAGGATGGGCGAAATCTGACCAAAAAGCTAAATATTAGCAAATCAGAGCCGTCCCTTTTAGTTAAAGCTTCACTGTTTTTCTTTCCTGAGCAACTTTACCAGCAACTTACATTTGATCCTATTTTCAGGCAGCATATGCATATGTTTGGAGGTAAATAATCGTGTGTCCACCCCCCCCCCACTCTGTTTAACTGTGGCCGCTGGTGTCCCTCAGCTCTGGTGAAAGGCGCCGGCCGCTCGGTGCAGTTCCGCCAGCTGCAGCTGTACAGACACGAGATGCAGCATTTTGTCAAAGTCATTCAGGGCTACATCGCCAACCAGATCCTGCAAGTGTCCTGGAGCGAGTTCACAGCCAAGCTGGCCACTGCCAGTGACCTGGACGCCATCCACCGCACTCACGCCGACTACCTCAACAGAGCCATCTTCAGGTGAGATCCGGGAGCACATCCGCAGCTCCCATTCTGAAAATATACACCATCCCTATGCACAACATTGCTTTTTCTTTGACCCTGTTTGAGTTTTTCTGACTTCAAGTTGATTTTTATTTTTTTTAAACACATGGAACGGGGAAAAAATGCCCAGAATTCTTATATTTGCTCATTTTTCTTGAAACAGAATTCAGTTTTTCTCTTTTTTGGTTAGATTCTAACAATGTGGAACCACAGTATATTTAATATTTTGCCTTGAGATGAAGCTAAAAGCTTTCACTGATAGAGGAAATCCCTTTGCCTGTTGATCGGTTTCATTTTTAGAGCTCAGAGGCAGGGTCAGAAAGAAAAACTCCAAACTGTCTGGAAAAACTGTCTGTTTTATGTAGGCAGCAAGACTCTTGAACTTCTTTTTACAAAATACACACAAGTCCTCTTATCTAGGATCATTCCTTAATCACTTATTCAGACTTCAGACGAATAAGAGGCCGACTTTTGAAACACGCGAAAGCCACAGGGGGCTTTAATCAGGAGGACTGTCTCCCATTGTGTGTGGTAATTTAAGTGTGCCCGAAAAGTCCTTGAGAAAGTTGTTTAACTCTGAACCCCCTTTTTTTCTGTGGCCTTTTCAGGGGCCTGCTAACTGAGAAAGCGGCTCCAGTCATGAACATCATCCACAGCATCTTCAGCCTGATCCTGAAGTTTCGCGCCCAGCTCATCGCACAGCCCTGGGACAGCCATCAGGGGGAGGCGGTGCACCCCAGCTTCGTCGCCATGCAGCAGTCCTACAACACCTTCAAGTATTACTCACACTTCCTTTTTAAAGGTAAGCCCGACGAATATCGGCTCCCATCTGAATCTGACCAAATAAAGGAGTTAGAAAGCAGCGTCCAGATAGATTCAGACCTTCATCTCCACACGTTCCATGCTTTACCAGTTCAATAATAATACATACAGTGTTAACAAAAAAAAAAATGTCTTCCCCCAGTGGTGACTAAGCTGGTGAACAGAGGCTATCAGCCTCATTTAGAAGATTTTCTGCTTCGCATCAACTTCAACAACTACTACAAAGACTCCTGAGCTGCGTGACGGTGCACATGCTGTACATGAGCTAAGTATCTCATATGCCATTGTGTGCCGGGGAAATGTTCAGAATCCCTTCCTCTTTTCCTTCAATTTTCAGAACAGAGCCCCCCCCCTGCTGTGTAATTGCGTCAAAGATGTAACTTTGAGAACCATTTATGATGGAAGGCCTGCGGTACAAAATGGTGCACTTAGCCTCTATTATGATGTTATGTAAAGCTTAAGATGAAGTGTGGCTACAGCCATGCACATTTTAAAACGATATCATTTAAATGCCTTTGTGATGTAAATAATAAAATAAGAATGCTTTTTCTTAAACGAAACCTCTACTCTTTGGTGTTGACCTCAAAGCTTTCAATGCTCCCATAGAATAAATTAACTCTGGTTAAGAAAAATGTCATGTTTATTAAAGATTACACATTAACATGATTGGTTTAAAAACAAAACAAAAAAACAGGGCAAATTAAGAGAAACACCTTACAGGTTATGAATTCTGCCATTTGTTCTAAGAAAAAAAAAAGACAGCTGGAAAGATAAATAAACTATGTTAAGGACACCAGAGCAGAAACATATCGGAGCTGTGATGAGCGCAACGGGGCCGCGGCAGGCCACCTACAGTAGGAGGATTTATTCTGTTGATGGAATAGTAAAGTTGGAATAAATCCCACCGACTGAGCCACGCGCCAGAGAGAAAGCACCAACAGCAGCTCGATCATCAGACTGGAACAAAACTGGATTTGTGCACTCAACACATCCACGTGCATGAGTGTGGTTTTAATCCCTCAGACAACCTGCCAATACGCATCTCAGTCACGGAAAAAAAAGAAAGTTTGATATTTCAGGACCACTTCTTACTTTCTGACAATTAGGTTACTTGTTACATTTGTTGTAAACGAGGAGTTTTCTGTGGTTTTCGCTGCTCATCTACGCCCTCATGACCTGTAAAATGTCTCGCCATCCTGCGTAGCGATGTTAGTTTAGGTTAGATGAAATCTGATGTCGTTATTAGCCGAGCATTCTGACCCTCTTGACTCAGCTCCCCCCCGTTTACCCCACAGCGTCCCATTAATTCACAGAGCAGTTGCAGCACGCGGAGTGTAAATATAAGCCAGAAATAATAAATATGTGTGGTAAAAACCAGCTTCAATTTAGCTATCTGCAAGTCATGAAGAGATCTCAAAATTACCGGATGAAAGAGCGCCCTTCCAGAACACTCAGACCGAGCAGGTGGGGCCGTAAGTATGACGGATAGGCCCAGATCCCACTCTGAGGCATGAATCAATTTCATGCACCGCAACTTCAACAAAAAGCACCCACATCTAACATCAGTCATCAAATTTCACCCATGAGAAGTGAACATGGTTTAGGCTGAATCAATAAACGACACGGGGAAATATAAACTGCTGTTAGACTGACAGCTTCTTCTGTTTATTCATTTATCCTCCTTTGCTTTGTTGTTTTTTCCTGCTTCAGATAAAGCCCTGCCGGGAGAGAGGCCGCCTCTCTGGCTCTTATTTGTGTTGACTGTTTTACATGGGAGTTTGAACCCAGTGACGGTACACATTTGAACTGAACAGCAAATGGGGTGCTAGATAGTAACGGTATCTATAATCAGCTTAAACTGTGCAGACGTTTTATTGATTTCTTTTTACATTCCCTTTTTTTTCTCCCCACATAAGCACATTTAAATCATATTGCACGCCAATGTGATCAGGCCTTCCTGAATGAATTAGCCATACTTTGTCCTTTTTTTTAAGCATCTTTCTGCCTCTGATATGCTTTTAAAATGTTAGCAAAGCAAACTGAGAAACAAAACCACTTTAAGTAACATTCATCAGCAGTTCTTTTGTCCACCTGTCTGCATTCTGGAGGGTTCAGATCAACTGTTGCGGCTAAAATGGGTTCAAAGAGCCCAAAAAATAAACTGGGATCCAGAGAAAGAACAGAATTCTGTTCGTTATTTTTGCCTCGATTTGTCAATATGTCTAAAGTAGGCAATATGCAGTTTTCTAAGGGTACAGTACCCGCCTGTAGGTCTGCTGTCATGCATTGATGTGATATTTTAGCCCATTTCCTTTTAGCATCACAGCTCAGTGCAAAGAGCAGTGCCCTCATCTGCAAGGGGAACAACGGAGAATGTTACATGCACCACAACAGTCTTATTAAACACTATTTAGACAATCTGACAGGTCATATTTACACAGGGGTGTGAGGCATGAAGCACAGAGTCATTTGGGGGGATTTTAACAGACGATCAGGCATATGGATCACCATAGGCTTTGTACAGGCTGTGGAGAAAAATGTCAGGTTTGACATTAATTCAGCTTACTGGGAATCCCTTCGATATTAAATCAGTAACCTCGCTGTGATAAGAGTGCAGATTGAAAAGAAAACATGATCACAGAGTGTGACTGTGATCAGTCACTCTGCATACAAATGTAGCTTTGCCATTTTAAAACTCTCAGCGTCTTCGGGTTTATTAATTAGTGCATTCAGCAGCCGCCAGGTGTTCTTCAAAAGATTAAAAAAAAACCTTGGAAGTGCAAGAAATGTTTTAGCGAGTGAAAAATCTAAAAGTTAGCATAAAAAAAAATAGATCAGCCTGACATGCGAGCTTACAATTAAAACAAAGGATGGAGCTCCTCAAATACAACTTCAAACTGAGCCTAAATTAATGGTAAACCTAAGAAGAGCAATGCAAAACAGTTAAACACAACCAGTACCTACAGAGTTCCTTCAGGCTGGAGAACCACTGACATGGTGCAGAAGGAAAAATAAGACTGAGAGTTCAAAGATCCATGCTAGATCTATTTAGAATGACAGATTTTTTTTCATTACCATTTTCTTTCCTTAGTTTTTTTGGTCCAGCCAAACTCCCATGAACGTCCTCTGCTTTAACAACAGCCTGAGGTTTGGAGATTTAGTAGCACGGGGAGGAGACAGGAAGTCAACTACACTCGCTAGTTTTGGTGTTAGAGTACCAGTTTTGTAGTTGGGGGCAGGGGGCAAGATGAGACCCTCGGCCCCTCTTGGGTAATGATTAGTGTCCTTATCGGGACTAGGCCTCAGATTCCAGGTCTTCCTGTGCTGCTCCGCTCGTGGCTACACCCGTCTCTGGCTCCAGGAGCAGGAACTTCCCATCATTGGTCAGAGGCATATTCTTCATGAGCTCGGCCAGAGCCTCTGGGTCCTGAAATGAAGATAAAAAAAACAGACAAAAATCAGCATTTTGTCACTGTTTAAGAAGTCATTCGTTTAATTTCCTGTTTGATTTCCTCAATCTTTAAAAGGGACATCTGAATGTGCCTTCTTTCTCCACTTTTGTCCAGCTGGAGCTTAGGGAGTTAAAGTGTTCCCCCTAGTGGTCAACCTACTGCTGATAGTGTTAATTTAATCTATTCCAATCCTTAATTATAATACAATGAAAATGTGGTTTCAGTGTTCACACAGAAATCGCTAAAAATGATTATCAATGAAAGAAAATAAATAGAAATACAGATCACCTTCTTACTCACTAACATTGTGTATTTGTTATTTTGGTTATTCAGGCTGTTGGAAATCAAAGGATCAGGTAACTGACTTTTCACTTTAAAGAAAAAAGAAAGAAAAAATATGCTGTTTTCTGTGTTTTTAAACATTACCTTCTTGGCTTCTGTAATTTCCTTTGCCAAGTTGATGGTGTAACATATCTGTGAAGAAAGAAAAAAACACATATAACTAACTTAATTTGGAAAAAAATTAAAACTGCCACCCTGCAGATCACACAGGCGTTGATGGACCAACCTTTTCCCCCTCGGTGTTACTCTCAAAGACAAACGCACAAAAGGAGGGCTCCCCTTCCTCATCGCCATCGCTCCAGTCCCGTCCCTCCACCACAAATCCCATCAGCCTCCCGTTTTCCTGGTGGGCTCCGAACTGGCACAGCTCCTCCAGCTCAAACTGAGGACAAAACAGAGGTGTCCAGAGAGATTTCATTTCAAACGCTGTAGTTAAATAGGACATATAGAAACTTTTTCTTTCTTCACACTTACACTTATTCTTGTCACTTGAGTTTGGGGGTCTATCAACCTGTTCAGAGGAGACAAAAACCCACAAAGGAACAATTTTTACCAGCTGTGCTTTGGGAGAACTTTCGATTTTTTGGATTTACTGATTTACTTTAAGGGGAAATCTACAGAGCTGCTTATGCACTTTTAGCACTTTTCAGGCGATTGATTGAAGGGTAGGAAAGCTTAAATGCCAGGATTTGTATCATTGAAACAAACTTAATCAGAATAGTGCACATATCTGACTGGTAACACAGAGATTGCTTGTCAAACAGGGAAACACTTTCCACCAGCCAAAGAGCCGATGGAAAATTAAATACTGAATAACTTTCTCTAATAGATGATCTAACATTGATTACAAAACCTTGATAAAATACAAATTTTCTTCTTTTTCCTTGAGTTATCTTTTGTTGTTTAATCCTATCGTGGCTTAACGGTATAAGCTCCCTCTACCTGAGGCTGCTGCTGGTGACCATGAGGTGGGCCTCTGCGGTTTTGAAGATGTTGTGGATGGCGCGGGCGGCCAGCACCTGCCTCATGGCCTCGTAGATCACCTCCTGGTTGTCGCCGCAGCGCACGGCCATGGAGCCCAGAAAACGCACGGCGAACACCTGCTGGAGCAGGGAGTCTGCAGGGGTACACACACACACACACATCACGTACCGCACACACACACCCGCCTAAAAGGCTTCACACACACGGGCCGACAGGGCTGCGTTTGGTTACCGTCACTCTCCGCCCTACAGTCCTCTTCTGTCTCTCCAAATGGATTGGTGCGTCTATGGGAATAAGAAAGCACGAATCAGCGAAAAATAACAAACAAATTAAAACCCCTGCATAGAGCAGTTATGAGGAATTCAGTTTCCTGGAAATGATATGATAAGCGCAATGGGAATAGAGTGCAGGGAATTAGCACCAGCAGCCCCTCAGGCCTGCCTGCCACTTGAAAAAAACATAAACAAGCCCCCACTCGGACTTCCTCCCGCTCACCTCCCCCCGGCTCTGTTTTGGTCCTGGAACTCGGACGCCGGCAGCATGATGTCGAACTGAATGGGCGTCCCGGGCGCTATCAGATCCTCCGGCTCCAGAGCGGCCCCGCTCTTCTTCTGAGAATCGTTGCCGGAGGCCTGGACACCTCCGGGCTTTGCTCTGGAGAAAACAACAAAGAGAAGAGCATTTCAGGAATCAAAGCATAGATTCCAGAAAGTAGCCACAGAACAACAAAGGTGGTTTTATCAGACAACATAAAAACCTATGAAATAATGTATATAGGTCTATCTGATGGGGCCGGGGGCCATTTTTATAACAACAAAGGAACCTAGAATTTAAAGACCAACTATTGGAGCTCCATCACGACTTTGGTTTGATTCTATTATCAGTCTTTACTCTTGGAACAATTACTTTAGAGAAGACATGGTGGGTGTTTGAAGTCCCTATCATGCCAAAAACTTTGCCCTGATTTGAAAATGTCTCATGTTGTGAACCGTTCAGACCTTCTGTGGACAGAAATATTCAAACTCCCTACTTTTACCTTTCCGATTAATTCAAATCAGACAGTATTTTCTGTGGCTGAGCTGGAGGTTAAAAAGTTAGCTTTTTTTTCTCTGCTTTATATATTAGCCAAAAATCCCCATCGACATTTAAATATTTTACTTTGGAAGGAATTAGTGACAATGCTCCAATACTTTATCTCATGTATGTACCGACTAGGGAATCTGAGTTCCAATTCTTTAATTGCTTCTCTTTACAGAAGTTCTTGTAATTAATTGAATCCAATGAACCACCACTATGTCATTTGAAAAACAATTCCACATAGGCAACTGTTCTCATCATTATTGGGAAGGAAAAAACAAAAGCAGCACAGACTGTGAAGCCCAGAGCTTATGGGGCTAATATGCAGCAACGGACTTAGAAAATCATTTGTGACTGGATTATTAATCACCCGTCCTGCCTCTAAACGACTTCGACCATCCTATCTGTGGAGGTGTTTTGCTATCCCAGGCCAGCTAACGCATGATAGACTGATCAGAAAAGACAGGCCAGAAGTCCGTGTCCAAACAGCAAATGACAGAGATGTAAATTAAGAACAAAACAGTCAATCAAGTATTTTTTCAGTTTGGTGGTCAGTTTGCTGTAGTCTGGCCTTAGAAGGCTGTTTGCACCGGTCTGAGCTCATGCAAAATAACATGAATTTGAATATGAATGAAGCAATCTTAACGCAATGTAAAGGAAATCACCTTTTAGCTTTATGGAATGTTATAGTGGAGGGTTTTTAAACTGCAAACTACAGTAATCCTTTGTGTGACTATCTGTTTAAGAAGCTTTACGGCTTGCCTGTCTGGGTTCGGGGAGCCTTCTTGTCTCTTCTCAAAGCTGGTTATGGGGGTGACTGCCTGGATTGCAGTTTGGTTCAATCGGATGGCCACAGCCTAACATGAGGGAAGAGAGGTAGAAGGACACACAATCTTCAGTCTTCACAAATACATACAAACTCCTCCCAGGTGGAAAAACATGTCATTCAAAGGTATGTGGCCGCAATACAGCTGCTGTCAGTGACAAATACACAAGCTATCATATCATGTCATATTTTATAACGGTCCAAGAAATGAAGGGAAAAACGTTGTTTTATATGATACATTTGTAGCTGGTTTAGATGATATATTCTATTTAACTTGCAGTGTGAGTGGGTGTTGTGTGGGGTGGAAAGCTTTACCTCCGGGTTGTCAGTCAGGTAGATCTGTCTGGAGATGTTGTTCACGGTGCAAATCCACTGAGATGGAAACACACGCATCCACATTAGGTCTTCCTCTACTCTGAAATCATTTGACTGACAGCAGCTGTGACAGACCAGTCAGATATGTCAACGAAACCAGAGAAATGAGGCCTGACGGCATCTCGGCTTTTCCATGATGGACACACGCGGCGTGGCCTCCCTCTGCGATGTAGACGTAAAAGAAATAAACGCTGTTCAAGCTAACTCTGTCATACTAACCTCCTCGTACTCCCTTTTGCTCTCAGCTTGCAGAATCATTGACCTGGAAACAAGAATAACAGTAGGGGAATTAGATCCAAAGACATCCGGTGTGTCTCCTGCGTTGTTTGTGTGCGACGGTCATCGGGTGGGCGTACGTCTTTCCTGAAGGGGAGGTTATCTGAAAACAGTAGCGTCTGTCCTCACACTCCACGGCCATGACAGAGCTGTTATCCAGGTCCAGCACCATGCCACCTGCCACCGCCCCTCGGGGCTGGCACATGAGGTTCCCTCCCTGGGTGAAAAAGTACAGCCGATCCCAGGCGGTGGTCACCAGTCCCGTTTTGCTGGAGAGGGAGAGGACAGAGAATGTGGACACACGATATACACACACACACTTTTTGCTCCACTTCGCCTGAACTGCCAAAACTTCTTCTTCTGGCACCCCAAGTTCACTAAAACATTCCCTGATGGGTTTTCTGGGATAAACATCGGGCGCCAGGTGACTCAGACCGTTCTTAATGAGAAGCCGCTCCAAACCGGGAGTGTTTTCCGGCTTCAGCCCCGTCTGACAGGCGCCGCGGGTAGCACGCTCTGTTGAAACCTTTCTCCCGGTGTCACAGGAATTTGTCAAAGACTTTGGATTTACATGAGGGGAGCGCCGGAGTTTGACAGCTCTGGCATTTTCGCTAAATCACAATGCGAGCTACGCTGCGGTTTCATGCCTTGGGGGCCATTAAGGAAGTTCCCCGTCTCATACATCTACTCCACAATGAGCTGACGGAGCGCGCTGTCACTGCCTTACCTGACCCACCTCGTCTTCTCTGGCAGACCTATTGTTTTCTGCCTTCATGCATATTCCGAGCAGGTCTCACAACGGATGCGGGAATTATTTCCTGCTTTAATTTTTTATCAAAAGACTGCACCGTCTTTAATATTCAGGCAAAATCTGAGAAACTGTTCAATTTGTCTTCTCCTGAGATAATGGTTCAGACGTGGAATGGATGGGATATGTCACTGTGTCTCTGGTAGGGCCGTGACGAGAGTAATCAGTCTTACTTTCTAATGTTGAGGTAGCCAGCCTTCTGGATGAGTGTACGATTGACGGGCTCAATGTCCTTATCTGGCATATAGACGGTGTCCTCCACTGACAGAAGCTCCCTCTGGACCACACGCATGGCCTCTGCCTCAGAGTCCAGCTGGGACTGAATGCTAGGTGGGAAACAGTTTTGATGAAATGTATAAATATAGATTTCTAATCAGTAACGTATTCCTACATGTATATCAAGCATGTAAAAACAACAGATTTGTCTTAAAAATAACTTTTTTTTAAAAATGGAATCAGAAGCAGAGCTGCTTTGATAATAAAAAGAAAATCTATCTGTGATCAGACACACAAAGCAACAACATCTTTTAATTCTCATGCCAAAGGTATAGTTTATCAGCCGTGAACAAACAGCCAAACTGACGATCTTTACCTCTGAGTCATGTTAGACACTGAGGAGAGAAAATTGTCCATCTTCTTCGACACTAGCTCAATGCCCTTCTTGAAGAAACTGATCTGTGAATTAGCACATAAAAATGAAAAAGGCAAATTGTTACTTGATGGTCTTTCGCACAGCTGATCGCTCTATGTTTTCCACCCTGAAGGACTAAATCACACCCTCACCAGATCATAAAAACTGTCATTTTCCTCCCCTTAACTATGTAAATGATCAGCTAATTGCTGCGCCTGCGGTTGCAAACTAAATAATGAATAATGCTTAGTGGAATGCAATATCAATTTCCCACATCTGATCTATTTTTTGGGATGACTTCTCATTTCACTGAAGTGATTATGAGACGTGGCTCGGTTTGAAGGCCTGGGAGTACCTGAGCCTGGGTGTAGCCCAGCATGGGTTCGAGCATGGCCACTCTCTTGCGGTACTGCAGGGCGTTGAGGGCGCAGTAGTACTGCAGGGAGGCCTGGTGCTGCTTCCTCCGGGTGTAGGCCACCTCCCTCACCGAGTCCGCCTTCAGCTGTCCAGACAGGGGAGGGTTGGACATGCAAATGCACACGGTGCACAAACTAGCCCATGTGCAAACAGGCCTCCATGCATATGCAAACATTTGTCCTGCTCTCATGCATGCAAATTAGCGACAAAGTTGTGTTTACTTCTGTGCACATTGAGATTTTCTGACATTTTTATTAGCTGCAGAGTCCGATCCTTGCAGACGCTACATTACCGTAGCAGCGTAACGCTAACCAGTGGATTGTTTATGTTGATCTAAGAGTCTTTCAGGAGCCTATTAAGTCCTCCTAGTGCACCAACATGAGCATCACCACTCTGGGAAGCTTTTACGGCTTGCTATCCACGTTGAAAATAGCTCCACTGCATAAACTGCGATGTTTGTGTCTCTGCATTCAGCAGACACTTTTACCAAAGCGACTCACAACGCAGATACAGCATTATAGTTAGCATCTACCTGGCAATACGCTACCTAGAAGAAAATCACTAGTCAGACTCTGTTAGAGGCAAAAGTGGTGAGAGTAGGGATAGAGGGAAGTATAGTAAGAGTAGTAGAGAGGGTGGGGAGGTACACAGTAAGAGTTAGGGGAGAGGATGCCCTCTGAATAGAAAAGCTCTTTAAGAGTTTCTTAAGATAGACGTACAGGGACGTCCCTGTTCTTGTAGCAATGACATTTTGTATTTATTCTACCTTCTCGTTCTCCTTTTTCTTGGGCAGTCGACTGTACTTGACCATAGCTGCCTCGTGCTCTGCACCACACAGGAGAAACAACAAATCAGAAAAGAATTTCCCTTTTCAGTTCATTCTAAAGCTGGCAAAGATCTCCGTACCGTCTGTGGCGATGCCGTAGATCTCCTTCAGAGTGCTTATCTCTGCAAAAGGGGAAGATTTTGCATGTTTACGTGCGATCGATCATTGTCGTCGCATGCTGACAAACGCATTCCTGCTTTTGTCTTCACCCCTAACGGTCCTTTACCTGTGAGGTCCTTTTCTCGGAACTGGATCAAGGGGAAGACCATGCTGTCGGCCATCTGGTTGGCTAGCTCCGAGTGGAGCGAGTTCAGCTGAAATACACAAAACAGATTACACGTATCAGAGCCTGCTGGTGAACTCACACGGAAGATGCACTCTTGCCAAACATCTTGAGAGGTTTCGATTTATATTTGTATTTACACTGACGACTCCTGCCAGGATGCTGGAAAACAACAATCCCACCGATACTGGGACATAGCGGCAGACAATGCCGTCATAACTCGCCCTGTGGAAGACTGTGTTCTGTGAAGGGAATAATGACACTCGCTGTTTTCCCCGATATTGGCAACAGCGCTGCATGTCGGACAAATGAGCAAACCCTGCTGTTGTGCTCCGCTTAACAACGAGCTGCTGCCAGCGCCCAACAAGCAGACATGCAGATTAATCTGAACGATGTATTCAGAGCTATGTTCGCATGATTAGGTGTAGAAGGAAGGTTCTGAGAACTGTAAGAAGAGTTCTCCTCTGTGCACGACCGGTCAAAAGGTCAAGCCAACAATCAGCCTGTGTCCTCTAAGAATGCGAGTCCTGAGACTCACTCAGACTGCTCTGAGAAAAGAAATAAAAAAACCCTGTCTGACGATAACTGCTCCATCTGTTTCATCAACAGAAAATCAGAAAGCTTCATCAATGCATCCATCGGCTCACTGCTACCGTTTTCATCTATTCATCCATTCTCGTAACTCCTCCCTTAGATTTCCAGCTCTGGTCATAGAGGGATGATACTCTGCAGGGGTTTTTTGTTATGGTTATTTTCTCCATCACACTGTGGGATGGAGCACAGGGGCAAAATGCTTTGTAATGTGACAGAGAATCAATTAAAAAGGCTATACTGCAGTTTATTCCACTTCCCCCTGCATCCCAAACACACACACAAACACACACCAACTACAAATCAATTGAAGACAAATGCCTCACCTCCCCGACACTTTTGGCGAAGTTCTGCAGCGTGCTGATAACCTCTTCATCACCTTTTCCAAGGGCAAAATTCTGGGTAGAAAAAGAAGAAAGAGAAGAGCTTCACGTGTTTGTCAGAGAGAGTTAAAGGCTGTTCAGAAGCACTGAATCCAATATCAAATTTAATTCAAATTTGAATAGAATTCAATAAGTCAGTAATTGTCAATTCAAATTTTTTTCTGTGCGACTCAAAGGGCTTACAGGGTTCTTTGAGGACGGCCAAGGTGCAAAATGAGACAACAAATAAGACTGCATTTTGCAAAGCGAGCTCTTTCTTCACAGGGACAGAGAGCACAGGCATCTGCAAACTCACTCAGGGCTAAAGTGCAGAGGAGAATGATAACACTAAAGGGAGTGTCTCCACAGCACCACTCAGGACGGGGATTCAGCCACACTTAGCCTTCGGCTTACTTACTTTCTTCTCATATTCCAGAAGTTGCTGTGAGAGCTGCTCTGTGGCCAGTCCCATCTCGCTCTGTAGAGGAAAGGATGGAGCATTGACTCAAGCACAATCAAAACAATGATGTACAGCGAATACCAAGGATCCAAGCTGAGTAAATCTAGATTACGTCTCCCTCATCTCATCCACAGTGTGAACACTGGATTGGTGTTTGGTACCTGTGCTCCAAACACCCGCTGCATGGACTGCAGCAGCTGGTTGGTGTAGTCTGTCAGCATCCCAGCATCCTCCTCAAAGACACTGAGCAGAGAGCGAGTCTGTGGGGAAAAAGCAGGAGGGTCACAGATTCTCTGCTTTAAATCAGAAGAATTGGCAGCATTTTCATTTGTACTTTTTATCTCTTCAAGGTTTTTAGTTTTTCTTTTTCGAGCCCATTTGGCCAAGCTTTTCAGACAAACAAAGCAAGAAATTGAACTTCGTCTCGGGTTTAAGGGGAGCGCAAAAGGGTTTTTAACAAATCTGTCAAAAAAAGGTTAAAAAAGACATTGGTCACATAATTAGCAGGTGAATCAACATTGAACATAATCCATATCCCTGATCATAAAAGCTAACCATTAAGGACCAAATGACAGTGTTGTTTGTCTATGGTTCCTTGTCCACTCTGTTGGCACTTTGACAGTTTTAATATTAAAGACACAGCTAGAAACTTAAAGATACTAAGTGAGAAAGACAAGAGTAGCGCAGTATTAGGATGCAAGTCTCAATGAACCAAATGCATAAACATTTTACTATAGGCCTTCTATGCAAACCAAGAAAAACCTGCGTGAAGCTTCTTTTTTTTCATGAACAGGTGCAGCCAGAAGTGCAGAGTAACACACCCTCTGGATAAGTCTGTTTACACTTCCCTGCAGTCGATACTTCACAAGGACAGTCATTTGAAACCAAAAGGATATCCTCTGGGACATTGTTACAGTTGGCTGAGTTTACATTTCAGCACAGACATAAGTGCATAAATGTTTCCTGCAAAAAAAAAAGAAACAAAAAAAAAAACAGCCCTGCATTGGGAGGAGAGGAAAAATCCCCCTCCAGCATGGGCTGCACTTTAGCAGCAGCATTTAAATGGAAGTATGATGCAACAAACAGCAGGAAAACAGGCTGTACTAGATTAGGACGACGGCCAGAACTGATGTCTACACATATGATTCCAATTGGGAAGGCCAGATCTTGGTGGGCAACTTTCTATCAAACCCTGTAAACACAGCGATCAGTCAATGGCTGTGTGCGGGTTATTGGCTAATTCCTGGCGGTCCCGATATTGGAAACCCCTCCCACATCCTGCGATTTAGGCCCATTTGGGCTCCAGGACAAGCTTTGACTGAATAATCTGTCCTAATATGACTCAGAAAAGGAAAACGGGTGCAGCAGAACGATGCGGGCTGGGACTGAGGCCAGTCTGGATGCTCACAGCCCAGGAGAGAGCTGACAGCCCGGTGAGGGGCGGAAGCCCTGGGAATGCAAAAACGTCATATAAAATGAACAAATTATTATTAAACTTATGACCGAAAGCCTTTCTTATGTCAAACAGCTGTGACTTCCGCTGAGAGGAGATAATTTAATTATTACAGTGCCAAATGAGAGCTGTCATCGACTGGTGGAAAAAGCCTACAAAAGGGAGCAGGATACTCTCTGGGCTAGCAAGCGAACTTCAGACCTCGTAACGCATTTCGTGTAACAGCTGTGTCTCCAGACGGTAGAAAACAAGGGCAGGCCTACCTGAGGACTGTCCTGTAAAGCGTCCTCCAGGAGCAGTTTGTGATGTACGGCCGGCATCTTGTTAGTGGTAGAGGAGAAGGGAGTGAGGGCTTGAATTACCGAGCGCGGACTCGGTTTCCCAGGTGTCTAAGCGCGAGCAATGCGCAGACGCAGTAGCAGGAGGCGGGCCCAGTCCGATATCAGCCTCACCGGCACTACGCATGCGCTGTCTGGGTATAATGAACAGACATTCATAAAAAAAACAATTGAAAAAAAACGTAATTTTGAATTTTCTTCTATCACGTATATCCAATTATGTCTACTGTGATACTTCCTGACCAAAGGACGGCTTTAAGGAGTAAAGTTTTTCCCTATTTCAGAGGAAACAGTGACCTCGTGTGATTGTACAAAGAACAACTGTTCAGTGTATTCTCAAAATAGTTTCACCTTAGAATGACTAAAAGAAAGTAAAGTTGAACCATTTAATAAATAAACTGGTGTATCCCCTTCAAAATTATATTAAGCATTTGATTTGGAAAATTTTATTTATTCTTTTAACCATTGCTCTTAAAATGGATATGGAGAAAATATCTTACTTTCTGTCATTCAGCCAAGGTTTTTTTTCGGCTGAACTAAATGTATTTGTTGCTTTCATGAATTCCTTTTCTCATGGGATGATGAAATTATGAGTCATGTCTATACACAGACTTACCAGCAGCGCCTCTAAATGCCTCAGAAGATACAACCGCTTGTTGTGAGGCAGATATCAGGCATCTATTTTTGGCAAAATAATGGACATAAAGCATAGTTGAGAAGAACCACATGACTTTCAAAATCACATTTACTCACTTAAAAGTCCCCTCAGTCTGTTTTTCTCAGTAATATTGTCAGAGTC